GAGAATATTAAAATTACAATATAAAAAAGATACAATTGTAATGTTTACGTAAGCAAAGGGGGAGGGGGTAAGATCTTTGCTTACTTTTGCTGACAAGGGGGATGGGGGGGTGTATAATTGTAAAAAATCTGCTTACGTATTATTTGAACGGTAATGTACCCGTTTCAGAAATCATCCAGACACCTTCGACCGTTTTCACATGATTGAGTAATAAACATACATAGTTATACATACACACAAACTTTCGCATTTATAATACAGTGAAACTTGGTTAAGTGGGACCTGGTTAAGTGAGAAACCTCCATAACTGGAACTCATGCTGAGGTCCCAACACTTTGGCACTGAATTACCTCTGTTAGTGGGACGAGGTAAACCTCTATATCTGGGATTTATTCTTTCGATTTATCATCATAGTTACCTCTATTACTGAGCGAGTAAATTTTATATGCATAAACCTCTGTAACTGAGATAACATTGTTTGTTTACTCATTCTTATTCTACCCACAAATTCCACACGTAATTCCACGTCCACCTCTATTAATGGAACCGTCTGTAAATGAGACAGATGTTTATTTATACCTGTATATCTGAGACACTTGGTAAGTGGAATACTTCTATAAGTGAAACTACATTGCAGGTCCCTTGATGTCTCACTTAACCAGGTTTCACTGTATTACTATCTACTTCCGCGCGGTATAACACGCTCTGCTCAGCTCCTATTCGTAGTCGTAGCGTGATGCTTTATATCCTATAGCCATCCTCGATAAATGCGCTATCCAACACAAAAAGAATTATTCAAATCAGACTTGTAGTTACGGAGATTAGCACGTTCAAACAAACAAAAAAAACAAACTCTTCAGCTTTATAATACTAGTATAGATAAGTAAGACTAGCGTCTGCCCGCAACTTCATTCTATATATTTGTTGTAAAAATGGGTCACCCCGTAGGTTTAAGACGCCCGATTCTCTTGCATGAGAGTGCGGGCTCGAAACCTACCAACGCCAAGTACCAATGTGACTTTTCCCGAGTTATATGTACTTTCTAAAATTATCTAGACACCACTGACAAACGGTGAAGGAAAACATCGTGAGGAAACCTGGGCTTATAATTTCTAATTATAAGTTTGTAATCGCCAACTCGCATTGAGCAAGCGTGCTGAGTACCGTCATTATAGACACAATTATAGAACAATAGGTTGCGGTCACCGGTGACCGCTTGGTGTTTGACAGTTTAATGCTGAAACCTTTTCCGTGCGAGACAAGGTTTTGCTCAGCAGTGGATATTTATAGGATGTTGATGATGATGTACATACAATTATACGTTTGCTAGCTATTCGTACGCCTTTTCCCCCGCTCTGGGTGCTTACTCTTGAATCCAATTCCGATCGATCGACATTGACATTGTGAAATTTCGTACTCTTGAGTTGTAACACTAGCGCCGTTTGAATCCGTATTGCGTGGATATTTCATGAACTAAATGGTATTAAGTTTGGTTTTATATTCCGTACTCTAAATGCTACTTTAGCAGTGACGATAGGGGTTGTATAGTTTTGACATTGGATAATTATTGAGATTTTATTGGATTGAAATTGCATTGACATTGAGATTGGTTTCAAGAGTAAGCACCCTGCTCAGTTAGTATTGATTGTAGCGCGATGATTTATACCCTATAGCCATCCTCGATAAATAGGCTATCAAACTCAAAAGGGTTTTTTCAAATCCGACCAGTAGGACTGGACTGATGATGATGATGATAATGATATTTGTTGTTTCAGACAAGCTATACATAGGGCTGAAACGTTGCTATCCATGAAACAAGGCATGGTGCGACTGGACAACATATGGGGCGTCGGAGGTGGCATCAGGTAAAGCATTTTATTTGTAACTAGCGACCCGCCCCGGCTTCGCACGGGTGCAATATACATGTTTCATACATATAAATCTACCTTAAGAATCTTATCTATTAAAAAAAACCACATCAAAATCCGTTGCGTAGTTTTATAGATCTAATAGAATACATAGGGATAGACAGGCGGCGGACAGATCTAATGTAAAGTTGAATGAGTCCACAAACAGACATTTTTTTCTTCTCTTATAATACCTTCTGATTTATTTCGTTGCAGGAACCAAGACATTACTTATTAATTGTACATTGAACGAATTCAAAAGAGCCTGTTACTGTACCTGTACCTATCTATGATTTTTAAGGAATATATTTGTTACCATAATGATGAATATTGTAGTACCTAATTGTAAAATAGACTTTGTAATTTCATTCTATAAATATTGGCATACACTATTGCATTAGGTATTAGTTCCTGTTATGGTAGTAGTATGTACATAGTTTATAAATAAATAAAATGTCCCTGGGACATTGGACTTCAGTGTTCCGGTGTTTGCATGCATGGAATATAGAATACAATGGAAGTAGCTTGAAACAATATTTCTGCCAGAACCGGTGTCGCCAAACTAATACATTTATAATTTACTCATACTATGAATCGTAAGTTACGATTGGTTAGAAAAAAAATGGGCGTAAACGAAATGCAAAAAAAATATCATACGATATGCAACTTTAACTCGTCGAGTACCGGTTTTGTAGACACAATTATAGAACAATAGGTTGCAGTCACCGGTGACCGCTTGGTGTTTGACAGTTTAAAATCAATGCACTATAAATCAAAATAAAAAAGTATATTTTGGACTACCAAGTACCGCTATTCGTCGCTGGATGGCGTTTAACAATGCCATCTAGCGACGAAAAGTGGTACTTGGTTTGAACTTTAACGTCGTAAGAATAAAGGTGATATTTGAATGGCTTATCACTGGCTCGAATGCGGGTCTCTACTCAGATAGTGATGCAGCCTAATTCGATACAAATAATATCGATAATATGAAAATGTGTTTTAAAAATAATATGAAAAAAAATATTGACTGCTATAGTGTGACAGTATTAAAATAATAAAATTAATATGTCGTTGATAACTTTTTAAACGTAACAAAAAAGGGTAAGTATTTATTTACATGTAAATCAAAAACCATTTTGTTCGTATTTTTTATTAGTTTCTTTTTTCAAAAAATCATTTTTTTTATTTCACATAGGCAATATAAGTAACAACTATTACATAAATTTTTACAAACTTTATATGGATAATGTGATAAATGAGAGGGATGGCGATAAGGATGACGGTGCTGATCTGCTCCGTGAAGTGAAGGTTGCTTCCAATCACGTCGGGGTCACCACTAAAATAATAATAAAAAATTATCTAAATAAATGTTACATTACATTTTTATCGACATCAATCGATAAATTCAATATGTGATTTGACTACATTACTATTTGAGTAGCGTAGAACTGGCGAGAATGTTCTATTGAATGGAATAAATCCAAAATAAACTTTATCTTGAAGGCGTAAGGTTGATTTTGACTAACCGTTTTAGTAAATAATATTATTTTAATAACCGTTTTTGTAAATTGAAATAAAATAAGATTTCTACAAGAAAACAATTAAAATTGTACTTACCGATGATACGGAACACCTCCATTTTCACGATTTTTCGGCTGCTATCATTTTTACACGCCAAAACGGAACAAAACGGCATAGTTGAGGAAATATGTATTTGACACGAGACTAGCAACTCGACGCCATGTTCGAACGAGACTGAACTCGAATTTGCCTCGAGTAAGCAGTACACTGCTTAGTTGTGGCACGCGTGGCACGCCTACTTGCTATTTCCATTGTATTCTATATTCCATGTTTGCATGGTTGTATCTACTGTAGATCCTGGCTTACAGGAGTTGTAAATAAATACATACACTTTTGAAACATTACCAGAGCCGTATTATCCCTAAGGCGCTCTAGACAAGTGCCGGGCGCCCGGTTACAGAGGGGCGCCGCGAGACGCGCGTGTACAACTGTACATTAGAGTGACGGAAGCGACAAAGTAAATTATTGGCGCCTACGAGGTACTTGTCTAGGTTTAATTCACCTCTGAACGTGAGAATAGACAGTCAGTGAAGCCAGATGAAGAAGAATCCTATAATACTGAGTACAACAACAAAATGTCAATAGCAGCACGGAGTCTGCAATATTGGATACTTTCCTTAATCAAAAATAAATTATTTCGACTGTTCAATACGATAAAATGTTAAATAATTTATTTTTTTTCACACACTTTCATTAAATTATTTTACGACCAACTTAATTTTAGTATTTTTCCAGAAAATACTTAAGAATGAAATAAGTATGACGTATGACACAAAAAAAAAACGTAACGTCACAATACACAATCTCGTACAAAATTCATAGAAAACTGTCGATTTTGACAGTTCGAAAAAAGTATTATTGAATTTGATTACAAGTACCCGATTGAGGTAATTTGAGACAGTTTCGTAAATTTTATTTTAATAATAATAATAATAAAGCCCGCAGGGCACCTTAAAGCCCGCAGGGCACCTTGAAGCCCGCAGGGCACCTTGAGGCGAGGTGACGGGCATTAGCGATCCCGCGGGCTACCATCATCCCGAGTGCTCCAGGGAGAAGTCACCGTTCCTTCTTCTCCGGCTTGCCTTAATTGGCTGGCTGGAGTGAACGATGACAAGGAACAGGTCTCCCACCTCTGGCTTGCCTTCATTGGCCGTCCAGAGTGGAGTCGCGAGAGCAGTGATCCTGCTCGGAGGGTAAGAAACTATTCGTAAGTCGCGAGTGGGCCAGGGATGCAGGAGGCTTCGGCTGGAGCAGATGATCTGAGTAGAAAGCGGTGGTAGTTTCTTAACCCTTCAGCCACTCACATTCTCGTTGCCCCTCTGTTGCTATATCTAGCAACCATTCCCGGGGCCCGGTCGGTGAGTTGGCGAGTCTCCGCCTGCCATTTTTAC